ACTGGGGTTGAGAGTAGAATTGCAGTCCGCCCGTTGCGAGACCCGCCACTAGCCTTAGCTCCATGCGTTCTTCTCTCGCCAGCAGACGGAACTCCTCAGCGCCTGACATAAAACGTGCAATCCCAGCCGGGTAATGAACGTCTTGTCATTGTGTGACAGCCGATATCTTGTGTTTCCTCTCTACAGAGCGGAGTGTGGACATGTTGGATCTATTCAGCCAGATGACCCTTGACGTGATTTTGTCAACTGCGTTTGGACTCAAAACGAATATTCAAACAGATCCTCACAGTCCCGTCACTAAAGAGGCCGAACGGTTATTCCAGAGGGTCTGGCTCTCGCCTTATCTCCAGATATTCCCCTGTAGTGCTTTCATCCGTAGAACAATAGCATACTTTCGGCAAGGTGTTGCATTCTTTGTGCGCGCTGCTACAGAGATTGTGGAAGAGCGGAGGAAACATGAGAGCAAGGGAAGGAACGATCTACTTCAGCTTATCTTAGCGGCTCACGAAGAACCTGCAGTTCAAGGGATCAGTAAGCTCTCTGACGACGAGCTCAAAGCGCAGTTGATTACGTTTCTGTTGGCGGGTTTTCAGACCTCCAGTAGCACGCTTGCGTTCACTGCTTATCATCTTGCCATGGACGCGGATGTACAAGAAAGATTGCGTTGTGAAGTGGAGATCGCTGTACAGACATATCACGAGCTGCCTTTGTATGATCTGGTGCACGAAATTGAGTATCTCGACTGCATCATGAACGAATCGATGCGATTGTGTCCTCCTTTTCATTTGTTTAATCGTAATTGCGAAGAAACGTGCGAAATAACCCCGGAGCTCACGATACCCGCCGGAATGGAGGTTACCGTACCGATTTACGCGCTTCACCATGACCCCGAGGCCTGGCCCGACCCGGAGGTTTATGACCCGGAGAGGTTCCGGGGCCCCGCAAAAGACACTCGACACCCCTTCCAGTTCCTACCGTTTGGTGCCGGGCCAAGGAACTGCATCGGCATGAAATACGCCATGATGGAAATCAAGGTCGCCTTGGTCAGAATATTGAGGAAGTTTAAGTTTGTTCGATCACCCGAGACTCAAGTGCCGTTAGTTTTACAGTCAGGAATAACCCTTCGCCCCAGAGACGGGATATATTTAAGAGTTAAGCGAGTCAAGAGCCTAATGTGAAGGACACCTTCTTAAGATGTGATATCATTTAGCCTGCGTATAGCAGACGGTTCTTTTCCATTTTCCAGGCGGAGAGATCGAGCAACCGACCGAGAAGACGAGTACGCCTGAGCTGGGCTGAGCAAAGTGGGAGGGGTTTTTTTGGCCGACTGAATAACGACCTCTCGCGGGAAAACAATCAAATTGTCAGTGGTATGAGGCAAAGTGAAAAGCAGCCCTGCGAGGGGAAACTCCTTGTCATAAAAGATGCTCCTATTAAGCTGGCATCCAAGCTAGCTATAACTAAGACTTTAGTGGCAGAGGTACGAATTCACGACCCATGGCTTCGTAGCTAAGTTAAGCTAATACAGTTGAAGAATCCCGTTAATCCGGTCACCAACGGGCTACAAAAATCTGGCCTTATTAACCAGGCGGTTCTTTAAATAAGACAATTACTGACTGAGCTTTTGTTCCGGCCAGAATAAAGCGGCCGTAATAACGAGGTGGCCGAATGAACGGAATTGCCGTATAAAGGCGAGCTACCATTGCATTGCATTTCATGAGCCGAGAGAGAAACAACACTGAACATGTTTCCAATTTTACGCCGAAGATTATTTTCTGCCCTTGTCAGAAATAACAAAGTCTAAGAAAGTTAAATCTTGAAAACCCCTGTTAGCTTTATTAGACTTTCAGATATGGAAACGAAGGTCAAACTTTTCGACCTCAGCTCTAGATGACTTGACGAAGACCCATCGAGTCATGATCTAGGTATCCGTGAAGCATACTGGCTTTGTTCAACAACATAAAAGATATTTGTAATTCTCTGTTTATTGGGTAAACACCCTACCACATTTGGGGTAAGTAGCCTCTGATAACCAGAAGATAGGGCAGAAGAACGTGACAGTTCTGCAACTCGGCTTTTAACCAATGGACATTTCTAAATATCTACATTTTTAACTCAAGAGAAAACAGAAACTGCATTCTGTAGTTTGACTTTCAATGGCTGCCTCCATAATCCATTGTTCGGAGAGGATTTACCGTTTTTCAGTCATTCTTCGTTTAACCATATTTTAAGATTTTGATACTTTTTCTAAAGCCAACACTGGTATTTTACCAAACAACGTATTTGAAGTTTCTGGCTCTCACTCCGATTTTATTGAAATCGAACTTTGTAGTTTTCGAATTTTGCTTGATTACATTGATGATTACATCCTCGTCATTAACGAGTGCAGAATAAACTACTGTTGAACCAAGTTACGTCTCTTCCTTGACGTCCGTCGTGAAGACCATTGAGGTAGATCCTCGTGTACCAGGAAATCGTGACGAGTTTCCGTTCCCGAGGCAAGGTAGAGCTCTCCAGAGTTAGATTCCCCCAGTTGTCAGTCAAAGTGTCCGTTCATTCAGAAATTTACAGTCTCAAGGAGAAAACTTATCGTCCCAGTGGTTTGCCAGGAAAAACGTATCGTCACACCACATTTATTTCTAAAGAAAAGAAAGATAAAACATTTAATTGGCTACCACAACGAAGAACACCAGAAGACGTAAGTCCGTGTACTAGGAGGCATTAGTCCATATTTGCAATCATGTATTTATATAATCGATATTTTAACTCGTGTGTGATTGGTTGAACGAGTATCGAGAAGTAATATCTATTGGCGTAAACGTTTTAGAACTCGTCGAGCTCGTCTGGCCTGCTACAATACACTCAACTCCGATCAACTCCGATCAACTCCATGCAAATCGATTTTTATTAATAAGTCGGTCTTATCAAAAACTAGACAGACTGTTATGAAGGTCTGCTTGACTAAGGTTAACCAAGAGACTCTGATCTGGATCAAAGTCTCTTGGCAACCTCGTTCCCTCTCGCTCCGGGATGGTGGGAAAATGAGAGACCCTGGGAACGAGGTTGAGTCTTACGGGTTCACTGATAGCTGAGAATTATTGGCCGAGATTATAACTGACGTCTTGGAAAATAACACGTTTTTTATTTTTAACTATTAGAAATGGGCTCAAATTTTAGCTGATCGTGATAGCTGAGAAATCTTCGAAACTTTAACTGATAACTGATCTTCCAGCAACCCCGTCCAGACCTTCGGTTATTTTAGCTAGAACGATTCTGTCCAAAACTTAGATATTCTAAATGACAACTAAATATACTTTGCACCGAGAAACGACTTACCACTCTGTAGAATCCGGAGACGCTTTGGTTATGATAATAGTCGGGGTTGTAATATCAAGTGACTGCTTTGTTTTCTTAAAAGAGCGAAAAAGAAAATCAAGCACTTGCACAAAATTCAGACGCGCAGTGGAGTATGTATTTTTTTCAAAATTCGAGGTCTTCGTAAGTTAAATGTGAAGAAACAACGTCTATAGTGTTTGATGTGTCATCTGAATTTTAAGAGCAAACGATAAATAAAATTGTAAAAAAAAAAAAACCGGATATCATTGAATGTCCGTATCGATTTAACAACAGCAAAAACCTAAACCTTAATTATATAAGCATCCAGCACAGTCGCTCACCACTTTCGTCTTTCTAAGCTTTTGTAGAATGTTGAGACAGGGAAAACAAGAGGTAGGCTTTCTTTTCTTTTGCAAGTCAGTCTTTGTGTTTGCCCTGTGCATTGTAATCTCCCATTTGTAGTTGAAATCGCTTTTAAGATGGGCCTGTGGTGGAGTAAAATGAATTTAAAGAAAAAAAACGCATTAAGACAGGCAGGTTTTAAAGGGAACCTAATGGGGTCGGGGGGGGGGAAGGTTGAGATAGCATTTCCTCCCCCCCTGCCACAACCTTGTATTTGCTTTCACGACAGTAACTGGTTTTGCATTACTACGACACACGATTGGTTTAACAAAACGCGCGCCCTTTTTTCATCCAATCAGAAGTAAGACCAAAACCAAACTTTACTCACTAGCGAACGTTTTCCCGCAATTCGCGTCAACTACATGGATATTTATACGTCGAGTTTTGATTGGTTCATTGGATTATCTGTGTCCTTTGTGATTGACTAGAAGGATTACTTTGGTGTTGGTCTAGCGACACTCAGTTGAAAACCGCTTAGGAGAAAACCACGCTGGCAAATGTAATGACAACAAAGTATAACTAACTCGTTTTCTTGAACTTTCTTGGTTATGGTAGTGTTTATCATTGTTTATGTCCTTTCGCGGCTGAAAAAAAAAGAGTTTTACCTCATTAGCCTAACTAGCAAAGTGAGCAATCACAGATTTCCAATAAGGAGGTGCAGTAAATGCCATTTGCACTGCAGATGAAGCCTATTTGGCTTATTTTACTATAAATAGAATTATTTGTCAAATAGTTAGACCATTCTTTTATATTACAAATTTTTCCGAATCTTCAATTGAATATTTTAAACTTATTTGAACCAATCAATTCAACATCAAAACCACAGCACTTTTCTTCATTTGCAATGTATCTTAAAACTGCTCCGTTAGAGAGAACGTTACAGAGTTCTTTCGAGCCATTTCAGTTATCAACAGTGTTTAAATTATTCTCTTCCACTTACCATTTTACGCCAATTTCCTCTTGGGTCAAAACGTCCACTAGGTTCGCCAGGCCTAAGTTGATCGTCAAAACTGCTAGCGGCCCTTGAACACTTAAACCAAGTCCTTTCTCTTGTCTGAAAAAAGCAAAGAGGAATAAGTGATTAAAATGATAACGGTAACTAGAACCGCTAATAGCCTGCCAACAGCCTCGCGGCGAGGACGGGAAAAAAAACATTCAGTGAGCAAAGCGACCGGACGAGCGCGAAACTGGGCTCCCCGGGAGCCTGTCCACAGGCTTAAGAGCTATCTCCAACACTTTCGTCATTGTGCTCCGCTTTAGCCTCAGTTATCGCCTGGTGTTTTTGAATATTTGGGTTAGAGGGTATTATGGAAAAATATCTGCATTTTTAGCCAAAATTGGGAGACCCCTAGAATTTTCTTATGGATTTTATGCATTTTAATTATCTTAAATTTTATTAGTGTGAATGATTAAAGAAATAGAGTACATACCTCCTGGTTGGAGCCTGGCACTCGTAATATTTCACGTTTCTGCGTCAGATACAGAGTTTCGGACATCATCGAGTTTCTTCGAGATCCTTCGTCCAGGAACGACTGACACGAAGTTGCTTAGATGGGCCCTTATACTCCCAGGTCAGTGGTAAACAAAATGAGAGAATTGTGCGGTTGACGCAATGTTGTCCCAAAATGCGTTAGACATGCGTTAATTGTCTGTTTACACCGAAAAATGTCCAAGACATGTCTTACCTTTTCACATGAAAAAGAAAATACATGACCATTTTTGGCGCAAGGATGCTTCAAAGCGGAGCAACTACGTAGATTTTGTGCGTCAGTTCCCTGCTGTTGCTAACGGGTCCAAATGGTATATGAAATACTGACAAAATAATTTATCATTTCAAAACATTGAAAACAGTTCTTTTCAGTGATTATGGCGGTATTTATTGTGGCAGTTCATTCGCTGCCGTAGAGACTTTCTGCGAGAGAATTAATCAATCCGTACAAATTAACGAGTGATGTGATCATTTTGTATTGTGAATGAAAAGCCCAGGTAGAAATCAATGTTGTGCAACTTTGTTAACCGGTGTAGTCTTGTTTGTCTACTCCGCCAGTTTGAATAAACCAAACCAGTTTGACCGGTTTAAACTGCTATCAACACAAACATTTATTGCGAAATTGTGTTTTCCTTGTACGCTTTACATAGCATATTTTTGTTACTTTTTTTAGATTTGGTGCGCGGATGTTTATGTGGAAGATGAAAATGCGCTTAAAAGCCGCATCGCCGAGCAACAGCATAACAACACAACAACAATAATAACAGCAGCGCACACACCTTAACAAACATCAGTCAGCAAGCTAGTCAGGATTAGTCTAAAGACATTGCTGATAGAAAATAACTGTCAATGGACGTTGTCCCACCATTATTTGAGATATTTGTTGAAAATTGAACGATGTGGACAAAATCAATTTCAAAAAATTCGATTCGAAAATAGCAGTCATACAGATAAAAGACACTCGTGGATGTATTGCGAAACACACATTTATAACGTGACCAAATTGAAAATCCCCTGTGACGCAGATCTTAACACGCGTTTTGTCTCCAAGCAACAAGCAAAAACACAGAACAGTCGCAGTTTCCATGACATGGAAATATCCTTGGTGAACGTCAAAATCATTATAGAGCGGTATTCACTACATCAATAGTCAAGTATTTTTTCTCCTTTTTCCTGTTTGTAGCACTCGACTCTCCCCGGTTAGCCTGAAAGAAATGACTGTTCACAAATTTCTACTTCTCTCAACGCAAAGAGGAACAAAAATAGGCTTAGTTCTGGTGTCCAGGTCTCTCTCGATTGTTACTTTTCGGGCTTTCAACGATGAAGAAAAACGTGAGAAAATATTGCATTGAACAGTCTAGTAAAATTATACTTGGATTATCTCGTTGTTCCTCACTCATGTATCCCTGTAGTGCCAGTTTGAACTCGGAAATAATAGCAGAGGCGGATCCAGGATATTTGTCCAGGGTATTTGCCTTTATTTCTGCCATAATAGAGCGGTTTTCAATTGAGTGTCGTAAAACCAAAACCAAAC